GCTTTCCTAAGACTGTACTAGAACTTTCTTTAATGTTTTATTTCAGAATAATTTCAGATTTAATGAAAAGGTGTAAAGATCATATGGAGTGTTCCTATATATCTTTTACCCGTTTTCCTCTAAAATGAGCATCTTACGTAACTGCCTAACGTAAATTTGCCTAAACTGAGAAATTAACCTAATTAATTTCCCAATTAATAAAGGACAGATTTACTCAGATTTCACCAAGTTTCCCACTAATTTCTATTTTCGGTTCAAAGTTTCAATCCAGGGAGCCACACTGCATTCAATGTCACATCTCCTTAGTCTTCTCAGACTGGTCTTGTTTTCACGACTTTGATGATTTTGAAAAGTACTGGTCAGATTTTGTAGAATTTCCCTCACTTTGGGAATATTGGATGTTTTTCTCGTGACCAGTTTGGGTTTGTGGGTTTGAAGGAAGACTACCACAGAGGCGGCATGCCCTTGTCTTCACGTGATCTTAGAGGAATGTGCTATCAACATGACTTGTGACTGGTAATGTTCACGTTGATCACTTGACCAAGGTCATCTGCCAGGTTTTTCCACTGTAAAGTTCCTCTTTTACCTGTCCACACTCTGTCCATTGGAAGTGAGTCCAGCCCACGTTCCAGGGCAGGGAACCAAGCCCCACCTTCTGGAAAGGAAATATCTACATAGATAATTTGGAATTCTTCTGGAAGGAAGATGCATCCCTTTTCTCCCATTTAAAATTTTATTCATAACTTGTTATGTTTCTGGGCCTTGTGCATATTTATTTTGCACTTTGGATTTCACCAGGAATTTTTCAATGTTTATTTGTTTATTTTTAGAGACAGAGCATGAGTGGGGAGGGGCAGAGAGAGAGAGAGAGACAATCCCAAACAGACTCCATGCTGCCAGTGCAGAGTCCAAAGTAGGGCTCAAATTCACGAGCCATGAGATCATGGCCTGAGCTGAAACCAAGAGTTGGATGCTTGACTGACTGAGCCACCCAGACACCCTGGGTTTCAGTAGGATTTTTAAGACCTGCTATCACCTCTTCTCCTACCCATGTCAGTGACCACTCCTGTCTCTGTTATCCATTTCCATACTTTTCCTTGTAAACCACCTTCCCAAATTGAGAGTGATTAAAGCTCTAGAACCATCTCTATCCTTATTCCAATCCTACATTAAACATGTTGTAAGTTCATCTTTTCCCCAAGTCATTAAAAAAAAAGAATTGAAATAAGAGAATTATTAGGCCATCTTGCTCTGTGTGGATGTAACGTGAATAAATTGCACAATTCCGTGAATTACAGCATCCACACGTGAAATGAGAACAATTACATCACTGCCCTCATGGGGCTATTGTAAGGATTAAATGAGGAATGTGGGGGGCAAAAAGCACACATGAAACAATAAAAATTATCAGGACCATCTTGATCGTGATCATGATCATCACCATCACCACCATCACCACCGTCACCATCATCACCATCATCATCATTGTCATCACCATCACCATTATCATCATCACCAAAACCATCACCATCATCACCATCATCATCACGATCACCATCATCACGATCACCATCATCATCACCACCATCACCATCATCACCATCATCATCAACATCAACATCATCATCATTATCATCATGATCACCATCATCATCATCATCATCATCACCATTATCACCATTATCATCATCACCATCACCATCATGACCATCATCATCACCATCACCATCACCACCATCACCGTCACTGTCACCATCACCATCACTGTCACTGACACCATCATCATCATCATCGCCATCACCATCACCACCATCACCATCACTGTCACCATCACCATCATCATCATCGTCATCACCATCACAATCATCATCAACGATGATCTCTGCAGCTTGAGAAAACAATAATTCCTCCCCCAAATGTGCTCATGTCATGAATCAGTTTCCATTTGCCTCCCTGATTACTAAATCTTTGTTCTTTCAAGGTCAATCTTAACCAATTTTATTGACTTCTAGAATAACACTGGCAATGATGAGTTATATTGTTTAGGGAAAATTACCCTGCTCATAAGAACAGCTCATAAGACAGATTTTGAAAAATATAATCTATTTAAAGACATCTGAGAACTCTCAAGACAGTGAAGCATGGAAAGACTATGATCCATGAAAGGAAAGAAGTCCTGGGAAGTAAACCCAGCATTCGGGACCATTGTCTTCTCCTACACGTGTCATACCCAGAGGGAGGTCAATCTGCAGGCACAGCTGATCTGGTCTTTGGCCCTGTTTTCATTGTTCAGTTTTATTTGTGAACTTCAACCCTGGGCCAGCCTAACTTTGGGAAGAAAACTCCATTGCAACCTTGAGCTTTGAAGGCAACGTACCATCCAGACAAAGAGAGAGCCCCTCTTCGCTCAACCACTAAACAGAAACTCAGGCTTCAGTTGGATTGGATGAAATTAGGTCACATACACACTATGAGCCAATTATTCTAACTAAGCGGGGGGATGAAATTGTATTCATTATCTTAGACCTCTGTTCTCATCTATAGTCAGTTTTTCCCCATAGGAGTCATTTGGCAATGTCTGAAGATGCATTTGGTCATTAAAACTGGGGATTTTTTACTGGCATCTACCCAGTAGAGGCCAGAGATGGTACTAAAAGTCCCACCGTGCACAGGACAACCCTCCATAACAAAGAATTATCTGGCCCAAAATGTCAATAGTGCAAAGGTTGAGAAACCTTTAGAGAAGGATTTTTCAAACTTAAATATATACACCAGAATAACCAGAAAGGCTTGTTGAAAATACAGATAATCTGGTTCCCATTCCTGGCTTTGCTGATTCAATAGATTTAGGGTGGGTCTGAGAACCTCTTTTGCCTAACAAGCTCATAGGCACTATTCCTGCTGCTGATTCACAGTCCACACCAAAAACACATGCATCAGGGCCCTGGGTGATAGCTGAAGGTGCTTCTGCTCTAAGGTGAGGTAAGGTTTAATGCATTCTGGAGAAGTAACCAGTTGTGCTAAAGGAGAGGAGAGAAAGCTATATACCTCAGCCATTTCCTATCCTTGCTCAATCCTAAAGTTTGTATTGTCCTAATATTTCCATATGGGAGAATTGCTTCTAGTACCTTCCACTTCGCCAAGGTCTCTGCTTGCTCTGACTTCCCCTCCCAAAGTCCTAAAAATATATACATACATCCTTGGGGCACCTGGGTGGCCCAACTTGTTGAGCATCTGACTCTTGATTTCAGCTCAGGTCATGATCTTGCAGTTCATGAGATCGAGCCTCATGTGGTTCTCTACACTGACAGCTCAGAGCCTGCTTGGAATTCTCTCTCTCTCCCTCTCCACCCACCCCACTCACGCCCTCTATCTCAAAATAAATCAATAAATAAACATTTTTTTTTTAAATATCCTTGGGGCACCTGGATGGCTCAGTCAGTTGAGTGTCTGACTTCAGCTCAGGTCATGCTCTCACAGTTCATGCATTGGAGCCCTGCATCTGGCTTGTGCTTTGACTCCTCTGTCCCTCTCTCTCTGCCCCTTCCCTGCTCATGCTCTCTCTCTCTCACCCTCTCTCTCTCAAGAAAAAATAAACATTTAAAAAATAAATAAATATGAAAAATAAAAATATCCTCAAAATCTCCCCCTCCTCCTGCTGTTTTAATCAAAATGAGTTTAATCTTTTTCTTAATGGAGTTTCTTGAAAACTATGGAATAAGCAAAAGAATGAGTAAGTATAAAAGTAAATAGAAATATGACTAAATTGCGACAGCACAGGTATTTTTATTTATTTTTTTTTCCAACGTTTATTTATTTTTGGGACAGAGAGAGACAGAGCATGAACGGGCGAGGGGCAGAGAGAGAGGGAGACACAGAATCGGAAACAGGCTCCAGGCTCTGAGCCATCAGCCCAGAGCCCGACGCGGGGCTCGAACTCACGGACCGCAAGATCGTGACCTGGCTGAAGTCGGACGCTTAACCGACTGCGCCACCCAGGCGCCCCAACGCAGGTATTTTTAAAAAGCCCCCTTGATCGTTTTGCATGAATATTTAACAGCCCCTCTGTGCTATTACCCTCCCCCCATCCTGCCTAATCATTCTCACTGGAAAATCGAGGAGCAGGATCCTGTCCAGATGAAGCTTTGCCAGTGGGCTATAGTCACAGCGAGGGAGCAAGGGGTTTTCTCTAGAAGGCTTCGGCGCAGATGAGAGGATTGCTCAGTGAGAAATATCTTAGAAAGAGGGAAATCTAGAATATTAACTAAGGGGTTGGGGACAAGCATGGGGAAAAGACCATCAACGTGGCAGTTATCTCCACTTAGACCATTCTTACTGAGCAAATGCGTAGGCACAGAAGAGATCATGCCAGAGATCCGTCTGGAGCAAGCCCTTCTCCCAAAGAACTCACAAGTAAAGGGTGAAGAAAACCAAAAATAACTCAATGTTGTGGGTACAGAGTGAAGTAGGTCACTGCATGACACCGGACAAGGGAGGGTCATTTCCACTCCACCGCTAAGGAAAGCTTCCTAGAGGAAGAGACATCCCAGCTGGACCTCGAGGTTAGAAAGTCATCCAGGCGGAGACAGAGAAACAGTGTTAAACATGCTCAGCATCTCTGCAAATACGATGATCCCAGCATAATTGTAGTTAGCTTCCTTTGGCAAATAACATTTTAGCAGAAGCAGAAAAAAAGTTTTATAATAGGAAACCAAAGGGACGTCACCAGTAAGGAGCATACCATGTGTCATTTATTCTGAAACACATTCTTTGCCACGTCTCACACGTAGGAGATCAGGGTGAATCGTACTATTGACACCATCTCATAATAAATTTGTGGTTTTCTATTATTTGTCTGCCAGTTATGAATAGTGATTTATCTCGCATCCTATGGGAACTCTGATGTGACCAACCAAGAGGATTATTTGATGAAATATGACGCGATCATCTCCCAGGCTGACAACTTGAGCTTCTGGGCTTCTGAGCGTTTATTCCAAATGGAAGAGGAGTCCATCAGATACTCTGATACGACCTATGAAGAACACAACCAAAACTTAGCTCTACGTGAGAGGTACTCACACTCGCATGTTCATAGCCACATTGTTCACCAGTAGCCAGAACGTGACATCAACCCCCATGTCTGTCGACAGATGAATGACAAACAGAATGTGTCCTGTTCATGCCCCAGAACATCATTCCTCAGCCTTGAAGAGGAAGGAAATTCTGACGCGTGCAACCACACGCATGAACCATGAGGGTGTTGTGTTGAGAGAAAGAAGCCAGTTACAAAAGAACAACGACTAATGACTTCACTTAGGTGAGGTCCCCAGAGTCACCAAATTCATAGAGACACAGCACAAAATGGTGTTTGTCCGGGCCTGGGGAGCAGGCGCTGAGAAGGGCTTGTTCATTGGGTAGAGGTTTCATTTTTCAAGGTGAAAAGAGCTCTAGAAATTGCTTGCACAAAAACGCGAGCACACTTCATACATTCAAAGCTGTGCATTTGGAGATGGTGAAGAAGGCAGATTTTTAAAATTTTTTTTTCTTAATGTTTATTTATTTTTAAGAGAGAGAGAGAGAGAGAGAGCAAGTAGGGGAGGGGCAGAGAGAGAGGAAGACACAGAATCGGAAGCAGGCTCCAGGCTCCGAGCTGTCGGCACAGAGCCCGACGCGGGGCTCGAACCCAAGACCTGTGGGATCCTGACCTGAGCCGCAGTCAGACGCCAACCCACTGACCACCACCCTCCCTCTCCCGGCGTCCCGAGAAGGCAGGTTTTGTGTTGTGCACATTTCACCACAACTTAAACAATGGATTTACATAAAGGAGATGGGACTGGAGAGAAAGGGGAGGGTCTGGTGGAAAAGAACTGAGGCTAATGTGTAAATCAGTAAAATGGGAGGACGGACAGATGCACACAAAAGAAAGACTAAAAGTAAAAACTCACCGGCGCCTCAAAAACCACAATGTAGGAACCGTCAAAAGGATGAACAAGGGCACTATTATTGCCAAAGATATCAAGCCGATGGAGACGGGGTTTCCTGAAAATGGGGGAAGGACACAGGATGTCCCTTGAAAACCCATTCTCTGATTCTCCTGACCTTCCTTTGCCTACTTGATGGTCACGTGCTCCTGATGCTCAAGCCCTCCATGCCTCCCTCGCCGTGTCCCTCCTTCCCTCTCCCTCCTGGTCATGGATCAAGCCCCACCCCCGGCCAGTGCCTCTCTCTATGCCTGAGGACCCTCTTCTCCGGGCCCTGCGGGGCACCAGCTCTTTCTCACCCCAGTGGAGGACCACGTCCCGGCCTCCTAGACTGCTGTGTCTCACTCGGCAAGACAGGCCGGCCGCCTCCCCGGCCGCCACGTCCAGGGTCACCCGAAGATACCACGTCTCGTCGGCGTGGGGCAGGACGTCGCCGCGCCGGGTGCCCGGCTGCTCCTGCTCACCCCGCATCCACGTCACCCACACTGGCTTTGGGTAGAAGCCAGAGACATGGCACACAAGGAGCAGACGGCCAGGACCGGGACTGGGGCCAGTGGACAGCCAGGCCTCGGGCTTCACTGGGGCAGGAAGGAACAGGGAGAGCAACGGATTATGACTCTAGTCTAGAGGGATTTGGAAACTCAAGTTGGGACGGTGGCCCTATCTCCTCCTTTGGAAACCAAATAATTTATTAAGCCCTCTCTTGGGTACATCCTACTCCTGAACTTAAAGGAAATGGTGGCAGGTGAAACAGAAAAGCCTCAGTGGGGGGGACAGGACTAACCTTGTCTCTGCAGTTCTGCCTTCCCCACATCGAGGACACCCAGGAGATACTGAGGGCAGGTTTCAAAGAGGAGCTTCCCCGCGATGTCCCGGATGCCCGCGTACTGATGGATGAGCGCGCAGATGCGCTGTGCCCGGCTTCCACCCTCCGGGGCAGGCACACAGGAGTGATTCTTGATGCTCAGAAAGTCCACTCCTCCTAACGCTCCCCGCAGGAAGCTCACCGTGCCCCCACCGGAATGCAGACTACAGCCTGCTATGCCCTGGATCTCAAAGGGATCTGGAGAGAAGGAAAACAGAGAAACGGTTTTTAAGCCGCACCCAAGAGAGAGACGGGAGAAGAACCTGGGATTTGCGATTCGGGTGGGGCAAAAGGTGTGAGGCATAAAAGGATGAGCCAGGGCCTCGGAGAGCTTAGGACCAGGGAGAGGCACACGTGTCACCAACGGTGGAGAGGCAGTTGTGATGGTGTGTGTGTGAACAGGGAAAGGGGGGCCGCTGGGCAGGGTGAACGGAAAGAGTGCCAGGGAGGAGGCAGGAGGCTCGAGGAGAGGGATTGCAGGTAAAGATGGCTCAAGCATCAGGGCAGGGAAGTGGGGCTTCTTGCTTGGGGTGTGAGAGACGCAAGTTATACCCAAACCAACCAGGAGATGTTGCAAAGGGGACCTTCACCCATCAGCAGAGCGTGTGAACGCTCTGTGGGGTGTGGAATCTGAGGCTGTGGTTACTCCAGTCCAGCTTGTGGGTGCAGCTGGACTAGGAATCGTCCGGGGAAGGAGGGGCAAGGTCAGAGGCAGTAGTGGCCTACAACAGGAGAGAGACATGTCATTGAGAACCTCCCTCGACGAGAGCCCCGGACTCACATTCCATCTGGAACTCATGGGCATGGTCCTGTACTTCCAGGATGAACCCGTTGAGGTAGACCTGGAACACCTCCTCCAGCCTGGTCACCTCCTCCTCACTGAAGTTGCCTTTGGACCAGGGCTTCAGAAAAACCGCCCTGCCCGCGTCGCTGTCCCAGCTTTGGAGCTGTAAGTCACCCAGCCATCCTGAGCCTTGGTTCTGCGCCCAGCTGCTATTGGCAAAGGACGAGATCTGGATGACGTGGTAAGAGGTGGGCCCTTGAAAGGCTGTGGGTGACGGAAGGTTAAGAAAAGTGAGCAGAAAGGGAGAAGCCGGGGACAACGAAAGAATGAAACTTGGAAAGATCCGGAGAAAAGGAACCCAGAGTCTGAGGAGCGACACAGAGCCCGAGACCTTTGCCCCCAAGGCCTTGGGCGCCCACCCCACCTCCGGATGGGGGGAGCAGTGGTGCTAGGATCACCCGACCCTCCGGGGCTTTATCCACAGCCCCTCCTGGTGCTGGCCAGTCGCCCACCTGCCTCACCGCCGCCCCCCGGGCAGAGGACCACAAGCCACAGGAGCCACAGAAGCAGCATCTCCCCGGGGACCCAGCTGCTGCCTCTCAGAGCCGCTCTTCTGGCTCTGGCTCAGCAGTTTCGCTCAGAGGTGACTTCCTCTGTCTCCCAGCTGGCAGATCTCTTCCTGGTCCAGGCTGCCCAGCAGAGGAGGGCCGCCCCTCCCGCAGCCCCGGGCCTCCCACTCACCGCTTGTTTTCACCCCAGCCCATCTGACGTCTGGTTTCTTGTCTCCTTGGCCCCCCGGGGGCCAGTTCCCTTTCTGCTTCCTACCTCGGAAGACCCCCACCCCCATGTGGTTCTGAAGGGCCATTTCACCTCCCCACGCAGGTCCTTCCACGGCATTAAATAAGGGGGAAGTGGTGGACAACTCCTCCGGCTCGCCTGAATCTAGAAGGATGCTTTGGGTTTAAATGCCCCGCTGGACCTTGTCCCGCCTCCCTGCTCTGCAATTCTGTCACTGCTCCCGGCGTCCTCAGTGGTTCCTGTGGCTCATCTCACCCCCCTTTTCTGGACCCTCTCACCCACATTCTCATTTCTGGGGTGCTGTATATATTGACAGTCATTTACAACAAGGTAAAGCATTGAAAACCCCACCCGGGCTGTAGTGCCACAAACCCAAATCCCAGAATCAAGTATGATAAATACTGCCGTTTAAGAATCCAAACAAATTCGTCTTATGCCACAGCCATTTTTCACGGGTAAAGATGACACTTTCTACTGGCATATGACCTTCTTTTCGGTGGCGCTCAGGCTTTGGAGTTTAGAGTAACAAATCTTCTGCATGGAAACCAACTTGACAAGAAGTTATATTTTCAAAAAATTATTTAGTTAAAAAAATAGAGTAACAAAGCTTCTGCATGGAAACCAACTTGACAAGAAATTATATTTAAAAAAATTATTTAGCGAAAAAAAATAGAGTAACAAATCTTCTCGAGCCCAGGAGAACCTGGGGAGTCTCCTGTGTGTAGCTTCAGTCTCAGAGACAGATTTTTGTAGGAGGGTCACGGGCCAGAGAGCGTCCTTCTCCTCTCGCAGCATCTCACAGCCTCACTCTACCTTTTGGCCTTTCCGACAGCAAATAAACGATTCCTAGGTAAGCAAGGAGCTTGTCACTTTTCACCAAAAGTTCCAAGTTCTGGGTCCTGAGTTGTCATCCCCTGTCTTCTCTGCGAATGCTCTCGGCACATCGCAACAGTACATTGAGCATCCACAGAGGGAAATATATGGGCGCTCGTCAACATGTTGCCCGTTACGATAATTCTTGGATTTCCTCCAATCAGGAAAGCGTGACCCACTGGCATAGATCCACGTATCATCTAGCAGAAACGGGGTGGTAGAATTTCCAAGCACGAGGGGCTTTCGCGCACCGATCTTATGGCTGTCGATAAGCAAGTCCAAAATGAGGACTGTCACCATCTCTACGCCTGGAAATCAGTGGCTCCCGCCTCGAAGAGTGGCCTTTATCTGAGCCTGACTGCAAAGTCCAAATTGTGAAGTATGGAAGTCACCGTTTGGGTGACAGCCAGACGACAGCAGAGACTTGACACCTCCTGCCATTAACATGGTTGGTTTTTTATTTCTTCATGAGCCTTGAGTTTGAGGGAGAACACCCAAGATTCCATCTGCGGGATGTGGCGTTGACTCGCTGACCGGCCCAAAGGGTAAGAACTTAGTAGGTGGGTGAGCCCAGTGAGTAGATTAATTCTCCCACACAACAAACATCCTGCTGAGAGTGATGTGGCAGCACCGACAGCCGGTGGAGCTGGCCTCGGAGGGGACGCTGGCCGAGCAGTGTGGGCCGATCGGGATGCTGGCCCACGGCGTCCTGCGTGGACTCAAAGAGAGACTGGGAACGGCAGCCTCCGTTTCCGGGTCAGACACCTGACAGGTGCTCTCGTGCCCTCTCGTCCACCGTCAAGGTCGCCGCCACCACCACCCCTGCTCAGATGCAAACCCCACCGAAGGCGCGACCGCACCCACTGGGACGGGAGGTTGGCGGCCGTGAGGAGGCACCCTGCCACATTAATCCACCCTCCGGCCGTAAAGTCCCCTCTCCCAAATGTCCCGCGCCTCCAAGACAGAAGCCTGAGTGGACACAAATCTTCGGACACCCAGATGACTCCAACCAAGAAGACTCAGAAGACAGGGTCCTGCCTTTGCTGGTAAAGAGGAGAGAGAGCAGGATTAACGGGTGAAAACATCCCTGATTCCTCCAAGATCCCAACAACAAGAAATACAACAAAGATCCTCAAGTTCCACCCCAAAAGCAAAGAGCACAAACACCTCGGCGGCAAACGTGAGATGTCCGGAGCCAGTCGGGGCCCCTCCACCTAAATGCAGGCGGCGGCCCAGCGAGCTGGCCTCCAGCAGCCGCCTGAGGCCCAGCGCCGCCCGCGTCCCGCAGCCCCAGCCAAGGTCACGGTACCTGCGGGCCCGAAGCCGGGCAGAGGAAGCAGGCAAGTGAGCGGCCTGTAGCTGTATTGCTTTCTTTCAAACTTTGCGATTTTAACCAAGGGATAAAAGTTAACAACAGATCCAAAAACGGCAGGCGTCTTGCCCTACTTGTTCATTTATCCGGCGAGTATTCACGGGGCACCTGCCGTTCGCACCTTTTTTAGCTCTGCGGTACCTGTTTAGCATCCAGACTCTCGTCCCCCAGCCCACCTTATCCCAAACTTGGAAGTGAGTTCACAGACTTCCTTTTAGCTCAGGAACCTTGGCTGGCTGAACTTTGCCCAGAACACACAGGTTCTTAAGGGCCACAAAGAACCTCAAATTTGAGCTGGAAGGGGCAATTTCCAGTGAAATGTACCTGCCTCCCCAGTACTGGGACACAGAGAGGTTGAAACTTCTTTTTTTTTTTTTAGCATTTTAATTTTTTTTTACTGTTTATTTTTGAGACAGAGAGAGAGAGAGCGATCAGGGAGGGGCAGAGAGGGAGGGAGACACAGAATCCGAAGCAGGCTCCAGGCTCCGAGCTTTCAGCACAGAGCCCAACGAGAGGAGCTCGAACTCAGGAACCTCAAGATCATGACCTGAGCCTAAGTTGGACGCTTAACTGACTGAGCCACCCACGTGTCCCTCTTGAGAGATTTAAACTTCTGAGACAGACTGATTGGAAAACCCACTGCATTTTTGACTTATTGGTCTTTGAATCCAAACTGTATGTTTTGGGGATTCAATTTTTTTTTTTTAAACACCTTTGTTCCTGTAGGTTTACTTTGCTTTTTGCTGTTGTCTATCTTTTATGAGTGCATATGTTGGGGTCCGTACAATGCTTCTATCTATAGAGCAGACAGAGGTCCCAGTAGGTCTGGATTTCAAATTCTAGTGTCAAATTCTAATTTACTGTTTTCCCACATCTACTGTTGAAAAGGAAACGTCTATTATTCTATTTGTTATTACCTTGTAGCCTTTTTTTTTTTTCTCCAAAGATTTTCCATCTTTCCTTCCATTCTTTTCCAGTGGAACATCTCATACTTAGACTCCAAAATTTCGGATTATCTAATTGCTTATCTGTTTTGCTGTTGAGGTGAAACACAATATAAAACAAGCCAGCTCAGTGGAATTTAGTACATTACAATGTTGTGCAACCACCAGCTCGAACAACTTGCCCAAAATTTATATTACCCAAGGGACTATCCCACAGCCATTATGCGGTCACCTACCCCCACCCTTCCCCCAGGCCAATCCCCTATTAGTTCATAATCCTCTTTCGGTCTCTGTGGACTTACTGTTGTATTTCATATGAACAGAATTACGCAACCTGGTTTCTTTTCCCCCAAGCATCATGTTTTTGAGGCACATCCACGCTGTGTTATTTTTCATTCCTTTTTATGGCTGAATGATGTTCCATTCTATGTAACTACCACATTTTGTGCAGTCATTTACTCACCGATGGGTATTTGGGCTGTTTCTCCCTATTCACTCTTCATTATTGCGAATAGTGCTGCCATGAACTTTTGCGTACATTTATCTGAACATCTGTCTTTAGGTTTTATGGGGATATACCTAGAAGTGGAAGGTCTCGTCATATGGTTAATTCTACGCTTAGCTTTTTGGGGAAATGCCAAACCATTTTCCACAGAGGCAGTGCCACTTTGCATTCCCACCGGCGATACGAGAGGGCTGAAATTTTACATAGATAGATACTCTACCAGAAGTAAAAACTAATGCATTTTTATTTTTATTTTTATTTTAACGTTTATTTATTTTTGAGACAGAGAGAGACACAGCATGAACGGGGGAGGGGCAAAGAGAGAGGGAGACACAGAACCGGAAGCAGGCTCCAGGCTCTGAGCCATCAGCCCAGAGCCTGACGCGGGGCTCAAACTCACGGACTGTGAGATCATGACCTGAGCTGAAGTTGGACGCTTAACCGACTGAGCCACCCAGGCGCCCCTTATTTTTATTTTTAATGTTATTTTAAAATTTTTTAAGTGTTTATTTATTTTAGAGAGAGAGAGAGGGAGGGAGGGAGCACAAGTGGGGGAGGGGAAGAGAGAGAGGGAGACCCAGAATCCGAAGCAGGCTCCAAGCTCCGAGCCACCAGCACAGAGCCTGATGTAGGGCTCGAACCCACAAACCGTGAGATCGTGACTTGAGCCGAAGTCGGATGCTTGACGGACTGAGCCACCCAGGTGCCCCTGATTATCAAATTTTATAATATACGACTTATTATCTCTAATCGCAAAGTGAGCTGGTCAGCACCCACAAAGAGCTCTCATGCCTTTGACATCTTCCGCCTTCTTTTTTGTTTGCTTTTGCTTAGTTTCTTTAGAATTTCTCAATCCTTCCAGGTTGTAATCTCCTAAAATTTTAATAACAATGTTGTTTCCAAATGCCGCACTTAAACTTTACATTTTAACCGTCCCTTCATACCATTTTCTGTGGAACACAGCATCCCCGCCCAGCACCCCCACCCCTGGCCCTGAGGACGACTGTCCCTGCGTGGGGGCCGTGGGGCTGGACCGCCGCTCTCCCCATAAACCGCTCACAGGGAGCACCCCTCACGTTCCCTGCTCCTGGCCTTCCTGCAAGAACACGCTTGACCAGCTG